CACCTGGCTGGGGTTGAGTTGTCAGAAAGGATGTCTCAGGCCTCCCAAGTAGGAAAAGCCTGGACCAATGGTTCTCAACTTGTGGGTTGCAACCCCCTTAAGGGATTGCATATCCTGCATATCATATATTTATATTACTGTTCATAACAGTAGCAAAATTACAGTTATGAAACAGAAATATAATAAGAATTTTATGGTTGGGGTCACCACAACATGAGGAACTATAGTTAAGGGTCACAGTATTAGGAAGGTTAGAACCACTGACCTAGACCATTCTGGCAAATAATCCTTAGGGTTGAGTCTGGAATAGCTAGGCCCTTTTATTATTTTCCCCTTATTTGGTAATTTAAGATAAAGGAAAGAAATCTAGATGGTCTCAAAGCTCTAACCCATGGAAACCAGACACTTATAAACAAGTTGGGAGTGCCCCAAGACAAACAAAAAGATTTATGTCACAAATCTATCTCCTGTTGTTCATCATTTGAGCTTGTACTTTTTCTTTCTTGTAGCCTGGGGTACTATTTTTCATTCGGTGACTTTCACTGGTCAGCCCTGGCACGCATGTCTCAGAGGGAGGGCCACTGACCTCAGGTACATGGAGCCCTCCTCACACTTCAAACCTGCATTGTCCCAAACAGAGACGGAACGAACAGGGTTGTTGGTGATGTGAGAAGAGGTGATAGTGGAGGCAGGAGCAGCGTGTCTCCTTTCTGTGAAGACCCTCAAGATTGTGCCGTCTAGAGGAAGGACTCGCAGGCCAACAGCAGCTGGAAGGCAAGTGTCTTTTCAGAGCATGTCCCCAGCACCCAAGGCCAGTCAAGCTCCTGAGATCCTGTTCTATGCATGTTCCAGTTTGATTTCTGCTGCTCTGATAAAAGGTACCTTGACGAAAGCAACATGGAGAAGAAAAGGATCCATTTGCCTTACACTTCCAAGTCATGATCCATCATTGAGGGAAGAGGTAGGCCAGGAATTCAAGGAGGAGCTGGAAGCTTGGGGGAATGCCTGCTGGCTTACTCACTCTCCTGCTCAGTTAGTGTGCTTACATGACCCAGGACCACCTGCCTAGGAATGGTACCACCCACCCTGGGCTGGACCCTCCTGCATCAATTAATAATCAAGACAATGCCCCACCTAGACAAATCTGATCTAGGCAGTTCCTGGGTCCAGTCTCTCCTCCCAGATGATTGACTCCAGACTGACAAACTGACTCTAATTACAACAAGGAACTAACTTCATTCTGACTTTTCCTTTTGATCAAAGCGAAATGCCCCTCATAAGAAAGGTGGCTCACTCTTTCTCAACCAGTTAAAGATGAACACAACGTTACAACCACACTAAAGACCTCACGTGGATCTGTACTAAGTATGCAAAAGACCCAAAACATTGAATATCTCTGCAACACTCAGGCTCAGAACAATAAGGGGTTCCCTATGGAACCTTCTGCACCTACATGCTGCCAAGTAGCAGGGTGTCTAAGACACTTGCCCACGCTGCTAGGGGAGGTGAGCCTGGGACTTGGGTGCTAGCTAATCGAAAGTGCTTCGGAATCTAGGAACAGGACTTGGGTAACAGATTTGAAGTCACCCAACAGAGGCACAGTTGGTACATACATTCATTCTCACTTGTCATTCTGCCCCAAGTTCTACAAATTAACATTCCCATCCAGAGGCAACCTGGCTGGCCAAGCAATGCGAACAAGAACAGAGCATCTTCTCTTCCATGACGTGACTGCCCAATTCCTACAAGTTCTTTTGGGGAAGATGGTGAACAGAGACTATCATCTTGAAAGGGCATGGGCGACAACCTGGAAAAGTGACTAGAAGGTGTCAAGAGTGGGCCAGTCACTTGAAGAAGAGGAGACAACGGGTTCTCATGCCCACTTCATAAACACAGGGGGCTGATGAGACCTAAGCATTCCCAGTAGGATCAAAAGGGTGGTAATGGAGCCTTGACCTCAGTCAGGTAGGATGAGAGCTGGACATTCTTTCCTGGTCACTTTGCTCTCTTGGCTAAGATGAGGTCCAGTGAATGGGTGAGGTCCAGAGGCAGAAAGAAATGGCTAGGGAAAGTGTCTACCATGCAGAGTCTCAGAACAGCTATGTCTCCTTATGGACACATCAAAGCAGCCAGAGGAACTGTGCTTGTGATGATGGTGGCCTTCCTTGCTAACAGTATGCTTGGGTGGGTGGCACTGAGCACTAAGGGGATTCCTGGGGTCTCTTGTGCATTGTGGAATGATCAGACTGTCTCTGAAGTACTACCTCCTCAATTGTACCATCATCCCAGCCTCTACAGAATGAATATCCCCGGCTGAAAATGATGTGATTCCCTAGCCCTAGGAAGGGAGCAACACTTCACGGAAGGAGTTAGGGAGGAGTAGAAAGGACAGAAACTCCGCTATGCACAGGAGAGCAGGAAGGTTTGTTTCTTCTTCCTGTACTTTCTCCCTTTTTTTAGAACCATAAATGGGTAATAATAAATACTGCTATGCTAATAGTCCTACTTAGGAATTCAAACCACGGTCTAAGATCAGAGCACCCCTGGTCACAGTGTCTAAATACACCTTGAATTTGATAAAGCATGGACTAGAGCTGGCCAATGTCTACAGTGATTAACAGAGAAAGAATACATAAACCCTGGGGAGGGATGGAGCTCAACTGTGTATCATTCAGAGAAAAAAATAAAAAAAAAAAAAGAGCTACTCAGTAGTTTGGGAGGGAAAGGCCACACTAGTCTCACGGCCACTTCATAAACACGGGCACGAAAGGCATGCCTTTCCACAAGCTCCAGCTTAGCAGCCGAACCCAGATCTCCACACACAGCTTACCAACAGAACTACCCTCAGTGGACAAAATTCAGGAACTACTGATGGTCTTTGCTGCTACTCAATATGCATCCTGGCAGGACTGCTCAAAGACACCTTCCCAGTTTCCAGAAAGGGAAGTCCTTCCAGTCCGCATGTCATTACTCCCTGACCCACATTCTCCATATTCCCAGAGAGGCCAGCGTGGGGTAGACCACCAGATAAAGAAGAAGCGCCTTCCCAAGTGAAACCACACAAGAACTTAGCTTCTTGCCCCTCTCGAGCAGTCTTCCTGCTCTGCCCCCCTTGGTAAATACATGACCATGGTGCCTGTGGCCACGATGCAACACCTAAGGGCGGTGACGGTGAGAGAGCGCAGTGCCTGCTGGGTCTGCCCTGTGGAGACACGGGCACTTGGAAGCTGATGATACCTGCAGTCTAGGCAAGTCCAGGGGACTAGGCAAGGGACTGGAAGAACCTGTGTCACCCATACCGGAACACTGAATATTTGAGGCCTCCTGGAGTACAAAGTACAAATGTACCACAAAGGAAGGTGGGCATATTTTAGAACCAGAAACTACGCTGGGTGCACTTAGGAAGTAAAGCTTACGCCCAGAACCAAGCACCCCTGGCAATCTGTGTCAACCTGAGTGCTGTTGCCTACTGTTGATGGCAATGTGAGAGAGTTGTACCACAGCTGCCAAGGAGTGGCTGGCATCCACAGCCCTTATTTTAAAGCAAAGCAAAGATCCTGTGTGGCTCTAAAATGGCCACCATAACAAGATTTTCCATGTCCTCTTTAAACTCAGGACTTTGGAAGAATTTGCTCTCTCTTTCAAAATTGGAGCCATCTTTGTACGATGTAATGTCAGGGGTGGATGGTGTGGCTACCAGGTGGCAAGCCACAGAAAGTCACTGTGGTATATAAAGAAGTCAATCAAGCAGGCCCAGGGGAGCCAGTAGGCAAAACTGGGGACCAGGAGAAACTGAGGAAGTCAATAAGAGATGATGCAGAAAGCTGAAAGGAAGAGAGACTGTTAGGCCAAGTCATGTCCACCATCACTGCCCCAGCCTGTACTTCAGGCCTGAGGTGTATACAGCATACGGAAAGACATGCCCTCCTTGTTCCCTCTTGTGCTTGCGTTTGCACACAAGGACCACCAAGCCATTAGGTTCCCTGGGCAGAACTGTGGTTCCACTGAAGCAAGACCCTGCCCTGTTGAGAAGGGCACAGCCGCCATTCCATACTACCCATTACCATGGTTACACCCCATACCCGCAACAGCCTCTCCTAAGTTGGGCAGTGGCCGGGCATCTCTCTGGTCCTAGTAAGGGACACTCCATAAAGTAGGCTCTCCTGCTACGAAGAAAAGAAGGGAAGATGGATACTAGATACCTCCTATGTCTTACACGGAAATTGAGAATTCAAACTCACTTACATGCCCTATTTCCAAGTCTCCTGCTAAAAGTCACCAGACTCGCGGGTTATAAAGCATGCTGAGAACATGCCCAGCACCCCCTGGCCTCCCAAGTTTGGTTATGGGTCAGCTTAGCCTTACATCATACTCTTTTACTAAAGGGGGAAAGATGTTTGGGGGCAAGAAATAGAAACGTTTAAAAATTCCAAAGTGAGGAGCCTGGCTTGATGGCTTGTAGCGTCCTCCACCTCCGAGAGCTCCTCTCATTCCATCTATCTAAAAAGGCACGCATTGCTTGTCTTCCCACTGTCTCCTTCGGCTGACTCACACCCAAGAACTGCAGACACACTTGGTGATGGATGAGGACATCACTTAACCCTAGACCAATCCAGGACTAAATTCAAGCACAGATCTATGTATAACCTAGAACTGTGTGGAGGAAGCCAGACACGAGAGAGAAGGCATGGGAGTGTGTGGGCCACAGCTAGCAAGCCCAATTAGGGCTAATGGCCAATAAACAAATGGAGACTTTCACAGATGGAAGACCAGGGCGAGCTTTCGAAGGGCCACTTTCCTGACTGGGTACTGGCTCCAAGTAAGAATCCACTGAGTTCTTTGTATACGATGTACACGCTTTTCAACGTTAGCCATCAACCCAAAGCCCTTGACAACTCTGTACTGCGGTGAGCCCTCTAGCCCTTTGCCATACCCTGCCTGGGTTTGCAACTCCAGAACGGGGCCCAAGAGCACTCCAGATGGCCCAGGCTCACACTTACCGGCTGCAAGCCGTCTTCTTGTCTCCGGCTCTGGTTGGGACGATTGATGAAGGAACGTGTGGAGACTTTGTAGTGGTTCAGTAGGCAGACGACGACCACCACCATCACGGTGACCACCACGACGATGATGAGGACCTGGGCGAACTCCAGCTCCGCTGCAAGGAAGAAGAAGGATTGTGAGCGAAGGCCCCAGCATGTGAGTTCTTTCCTGGCTCGACACCCCTGCAGCTGCAGTTATGACCCCTCAGATCCAGTCCCCAGAGGGGACATAGAAACTATGGCCACACTCAGGAGAAGAAGAAAATGCAGGCATAAAGCAAATATGTGGCTGGGTCAGGGTGACACCTGAGCTCTGCCTGCAGATGCTATGGGTCAGTCATTTGCTGGACCTTGGTATTGTAACATTTTGGACAAATAGAGTTTCTGGGAGTGCCCTGTCCCATAGATCTCTGTTGCTCTGCTTTGCAAAGTTCTAGAACCTGGTCTTCAAACTTAAAGCCTTACAAAAACCTTCTGCTGGCCCTGCAAGGCCTCCCGGGTTTTGGCTACAACTTTCCTCACTGACAGGATGGAATTCAAGGTCAGCCCGGTGAGTTCACCAGAGGCAGGTGCAAAATGGGCACCTGTGTATGTTGGGCCAACCTCAGGCCAGCCTGAGCTGTCTCCTCAACTCCTGTCCTGTCAGGTGACCGTCTATCTCTTCATTCTAGCGGAGTTGAGGAATTCTCCCCCAAATGAAGCTGCACCTATGCAACCTCTCTACAAAACAAACCCACCTCTCTGAGTAAAATTTCTCAGAGCTCAACTCACAGGGGAAATAAATGTTAAGAGAGTAGCTTCAAGCATCTAGTCCTGGGAGAATTTGCCTTTGTAGGCAGCTTAGAAAGCATTCCCCCATTCTGCAGGCACAGCGTCTGAGCGGTAAGACCAAGGTAGGCCTCCAACACTAACATTACGAATGATACCCCACAGTTATTAATACACCCTGCACACACATGTCTGGATTCCTTCCCCTCCCCGCTTCAGCATTCCCGACCCGAGATGAAGCTGAGTGTGCACCCAGGGTTTCTCACGAAACTATGGTCCTAAGTCTGTTGTGGCTGACACTGCATCCTCAGTAATTAGCACACAGTGGTGCCTGACAGGTAGTTAGGAGACCTCACCAACAGCAGGGAGAGCAGTCCTGAGCCAGAGACCTTGTCTCTCATTTATGTAAATTCCTCTGTGAGATTCTCTACAGACAATATTTCTCATGGCATTAATGATTCTCTCATTTCTTTCTTCATGGCTACACTGATATTCCAAAAACATTTTTTCCTCTAAGAACTTTTATTTTGTTCTTTCATGTTTAGATCTCTGTGTTGTATTTTATACTTTGGGTATAGACAGCATAGGGCATTCTGAATGAAATGATCTGATACATTACTTAAAAATCCAAGCAAGGGTGAGCAAGATCCCCATTGCATAAACAGTGTGTATACAAGCTCCCTTAAAAGAAAGCGTCCTCACTACTCTTGTTCTTTTCCTGAGGACTGGAGCTTCTGAGCCTCCATCCTAAGCTCTCCTGTAAACCTGCCATGTGTACCCACCGGAGTGCACTGCCCTTGCTGAGCTGTCTGCAGCTGTACAACTGCACTGCAGCTTCAAGCAGAAGACCAGAGCCCTGGCAGGGACAGGGAGGGCTCAAAAGCTGCCCAGCGATGTTAGGGGTCCACAGGTGATGGAGAATCAGGAAGCTAAGATCTGTGTCACGGTGAGGCAACAGGCTGACTCAAGGGCTTTGGAAGTATAAATAGGGTCCCTGGAGGTGGGGCACTGGCCAAGGAAATCGGCCTTACAGTTATAGCCAGTGGGCCCCTGGGGCAACAGTAGGCTTGAGTCACTCAGCCCAAGCATGAGAGGCAGCTCTTTGAACAGACAAGAATGAAATCCAGGGTATCCAATCCCTAAGGCCAGAATCTTCGCAAGTTATGGCTAGCAGCAGCACGGGATCCCTGTGTTGCTGTTTGAAGGCCATCCCCGTGGGGTCTGCACTGGGTGTGGTACCCAGAGCAGAACACTACAGCCTACAGGGCTAGGGCAGGGCAGATGGCTCAGCAAAGTCTGACTATCTGAGTTTGATCCCTGGAGGAGAGAAATGACCCCTCCCCACACAGCTGTCTTCTGACTTACATATGTGTGTCGTGGCAGATACATGCTGACATAAACGTTCACATCATACATATGTATGCACATGGTAACATCAAATGAAAATATTTTAAAATCTATCTACTCTTCGAATTTGGGGCAGAACAGTCCGTGAGGACAGATCATTTTCTCGTTTAAGTTTTAAGAGATAGAAAACCAAAAGTGGGAAAATAGGAAGAGTAAAAACATCCGGCTCTGGGGGATTCTCAAAGTAAAAGCCATTAAACAGAGGGTGGTCCCCAGGGATGAGCAGATCTCGGGGTCCTGCTCTGTGGAAAGCCCTTCCCTCCCCCCATGTCTGTCCTTTCATTTATTTTAATCATTAGATTCTGCCCCAAATCTCCACAGCTTGTTTTCACGTGGTGGGGGACGGAGAGCGCATGATGGTCCGGGGAGCCTGGGGGACACATGAAGGAAAGACGCTTTAGTTTTGCTTTGGAGGGGTAGGCTAGGAAAGGGACGTCGGGGAGAGAATGAATTTGGAAAGAAATATTAGGATGGGAATACTTTTTAAGCCCACAGGAACACCAGCATTTTAAAAGGGTAATTGGATGCTTTTGAGGTTTCTGAATCTTTGTGTAAATCACTATGGATTCTGAACACAGCCCACCGGTCAGGTTTCCCTGATTTCAGTAGTTACGGATATCAACAGAAGTAAGGCAAAAAGCCACGCAAGTAAAGGACTTGAGGCTAAACAGAATTTCTGAGCTCCTGTTCCTTTTATGAGGCTGAAATCTAAGGGGCAATGGATGAGTCATTGCCAGCCACACACCAGAAATTTTACAATAAAATTTCAAACTTACAGGAAGGGATCACAGTTCCTTACTTTATTACTGTAAAATGGTGACAATGACGGCAGTGATGATGGCATCTCTGTCTTTATAGAAACATCTCCAAGAAATTCTGAGCTGTGCTGTGGGGAACCGCAGGAACAGAACTGTGTGGAGCAGGCTGGTCCATGCCTTGGTCCAATGAGGACCTGAACTGAATCCTCCAGGAGGCATGAATGTCTGAACTATTTTTAATGAACTCTGGGGAGATGTGTTTGTACCACTCTTGGCTTCCTAATATAACACCCACTTCTATTTGTGGGGTGGCTAGCACCATCTTCCATTAGGTCTTTCCTCCATGAATACATCCTCATCTGCAGGAGTCGAGGTTTCTAAATGTTTAATTAAGTTTTACGTTCCAGATATGTGATGTGTTCCCTGACTGAAAACCTCTAAAGGAGGAACATGGTGTGGGCCCCATGAGCCCTTCCTTTCACCAGCAAAACAAACACTTTGACCGCCTGTGGGGGAGCCGCCCTGTAGAACACTTATGTCAAGGCCAGGACCAGCCGCTCCTCACAGACCTCTGAGTGATTCACCTCTTACTTGTACCAACAGAAACCCCTCTACCTCATCCCCCTTCACACTACAGGCTGGGAACACAGAGAATGGAAGACCATGACCAGCCTGCCACAGAATCCCACCCTCTAGACAGTCCCCTCCCTGCAAACCCTTCCTACTCCCCTCCACTGCTGAGGCAGAGAGGCCGACTTTGTGACATTGGCTTGGTCTGGTTTGGCTTCTTCAACACTAAACTTGTGTCTGCATTTCCTTCCTGTCTCTGTCCTGCTCGGCAGAAACAGGTGTCGTGGTAAGATGACAGCCATGGGGGTGGGTGATTTTTTTTTTTTTATTTATGGGTCTGTGACACTTTTCAATTGCTGAATGTTCCTATAGTCGGGCAGATTCTTTCCAAACTCCTTAGCGGTAACGGGGAGATGGATGGGGGAAGGAACTGGGATCTACTTAGCCTATAATTGTCTTGAGCTGGAGACTATTGGTATAAAAACACTCTTGGAGATTTTAATGCTTGAATGAAAATTCACACTCATTAAACTCCATAGTTGAGGGCAATATTTAGCCTCTGCTATAAAAAAATGACTTCACAGATAAAAGTTCAGAAGGCAAAACAATAAGGGCTACAGCTTATGATTATATTAAAGTTTTAAAATTGCATTTTTCTTTGTGGCTAGTGGATTTACTCCAAATTGTTTGTTAATGAGTAGGACAATGGAAGGGAGAAAGGAAAAAATAGAACTATAAAAACAACCAGGTTTTTGCGATTGCTGGCTGTATCTTCCTTTATAAGTTTGTCTCTGAGCCCTTGAGAGCAGGCTCCTGACCCTCACACTGCTTCCTTTAGGCACAGAGTCCATGCCATACTAACACTCCTTTCTGACCTTTGTCCTCTGACCTTCTCTCAGAGACTGAGCCGTGGGCCAGGTCTTAATCATTGATGTGGAATTAGTGTGTATTACATATAAGGAGATCGGGTCTTCCAAATTCTGTTTTCTAATTTGTTTATACACTGTCTCGCACAGAACTGTATCCTGGCAAACATTCACCAACAACTTTAACGATGCTAACATTTTAGCAAAGGGTTCCATATTTTGCACCAATTACCCAGCATTCCTATTTAAAGGAAGTTCAAATGGCCACCAGAAAAGGCTCCTGATTGCTGTAAGTTATCTGCTTCTATATTCCAGCTACATTCCTATATTTACATAAGGCAGTTCGCATCACAACAACGTTGGAAGTGTTATCTAGGATCCGCAGGTGGAGCAGATGACACAAAGGCACATCTCCCCAACTTCCATCCCAACCAGGTACCTCCCAAGGCACCGGGCCGGCCGGATAGAAGTCAACAAGGATTAGACCGGCTAAGAAATCCCTAGAATACAGATTCTGCAAGTATCTCCAGCTGAGGGCACATCAAAGGCCGAAGCACCTGTCCAATAATACGACTTTTCTCTACATACTTCATCATCTAGTCTCCCCTGATTTCTTTAAAAAAAAAAAAACTGACCTAAACATCTCCCAATCAAAGATGACTGACAGAATTGTCGCCAAAAAGAAATAAACCCGCAGAGGAATGGTGGGGTAGTTACGAACCTTTGCAAACAAGTCCATGCCCTGCC